ATAGTTCAATATCCAACCATTTCTCTGCTCCCATGCTGACATGACGATTGTCTTTGTACCTGCACGTTGAACAAGAAAATAGCATAAGTGTCTGCAATAGCAGAGTAAGAGAATTATTTCCCAAGGCTAACATAAGATATAACTATCAAACATATCGCTCATTATGAATGATGGAGAATGCCAAAGTGAACTTCAGACAAAAAATTAAGTTGAATGGTATAGAACAGCTTCATATATCCAGTAATGATAAAGAATCCCTATTTCTATCGGCTTCAATTAAGTTCCCTAATGAGTTATATTTTTGCTTTATTAACAATGAACTTGTAAAACATATCCAACTCCTTGGTGTAAATCATTCATAGATAGCAGAACTAAGATGGTATACAGAGAATAATCTTTAATCATGGAAGGATTAAGGATGACGGTGCACCAAAGTGTACCCATATCCATGGATCAATTTACCAATTCTACTTGCCTATGCATTAGGGACTCCCATTTAGGGAGAGATAGTTTCAGTAGAACATAGAAGATCCCAAATACCGCTGTTTTGAGTGTTGCATAACTTGATTCACTTCATATGCTATGAGTCTAAACCAATTTCAGCTAGCAGATTATGGATCCTAATTCTACTTTGAACTGCATAAATAATTAATTTAATTGAACCTATACAATAGATTAAGCATATAGAAATTCAACCTTAATATAAATATTGCACAAATTTGAAATGCTTAACACGTTATCAAACCAGAAATCAAAAGGCATTTTCACCTCAGGCATTGTTGCACCTTTTGGAGCCATCACGTGACACAACGTGAACCGACTGAAGCCCTAGGGCATCTGCAGACCTAAAGGCAGCCGAAACGTTCCCGAAATCGTTCAATCCCTCGACCACCAGGCAGACAGAATAGCTACGGTTATTCACCACATTCAGAAACCTGTCCTTTCTTGTCTCCATTATATATGGATCCAACGCTTCTAGCACTTCAGCACTTTTCAAACACATATCACCTGCTTTGACTTCATCCAAATACGGAAACCAATGGTTTGGCATATGATCATTTTTATATCCACTATCATTTCCTGGCCGGCGCTCAAATTTCATTAACCTTGCTATGTCATCCTTGTCTTTTGAAAGCAGTAACTCAATTGTTTCTTTAGATGAATTTCTGAGAACTTCTGGGGTGACATTTTGAGGTACCATTTCCTCCGAGTTTTCCAAAGAAATTGCCCTTTCCACACCATTGTAATGTCTCGAAATTGAAGGTCGTTTATGGGTTTTGAGCCTCAGCCCTACTTTTATCAAAAAAACAAATTAAAAATTAAATTAATACAAGATTTCTTTCAAATACACAAGCCCCAATACATGAATGCATATCATACATATGTATAAGAGCACACACATAACAAACATATACATATATGATATGCAGTGGTAAGTATCCCGAAATTGAAGGTGATTAACGGGTTCTGGGCCTCAGCCCTACTTTTAACAAAACCAAATTAACAGATGAATTAACACAAGATTACTTAAATTTACTGATACACGCGCATCGATATTGAAATTCATATCATATGTGTAAATTTATGTACCTGGATGAGTTGATAGAAAAGATGAGAAATGGCGGATGGTTGTATTGGGACTTCGGACTTTGAATCCAAGGCATAAAAAGGATGTACGGATTAGGGTTTTGCAGGAGCTCATTGTAGTAGACTTTCTGAATTAGCGATTGGGCACCCGAGGAGATGAAGTGAACCGTTGCTTTACGACGTCATACCTGTGAGTTATTTTTTAGGATGCTTTTTATTATTATTATTATTATTATTATTTTAATATTAAAATTTTGATGGTTTTACGATATTCAGACAATTTGAAATATTGGCTGCAAAATTTAGACCTTATGACAAAAAAATTAATTACTCTTGAGTGTCTGAATTATTATTATTTGCATATAAAAACTATATATATAACTCTCATTATAATGATAATTACATACAAACTGCATATTTTGAGACAAAAAATAAATATTTAAAAAGGAATTATAAATTTATAATAAAATAGTGACAACCTCAAATATACATGGTAATTGAAAAATATATTTGACTTGACTTTAGTAAATTTTTTACGTAGCATAATTATTAAAAAATTATATTTGACATGACATTGATAACATGTTTACATAAAAACCATGCTTTGTGAATTAAGTGCAAACTAGGCCAAACTTGTTGGTCGAAATTTGAATAAATAGTTGTTAAGTCGAAATCGAGTGCAGTGTCATTTTATTATGAATGTAGAAATCGTCATGAAAGGATACATGCTACTTTGACGAAGAACCAATTAGTTTACATAGTATCACTATAGTTAAACTTCACTTTGCTGATATTGTCCATTTTGTCTCGATGCTTATATTCTCTTATTTTATAGGCCTAGATGTTTGGTGTGGCTCATTTGGGTTGGTTAGAGAGGTCTCTATTGAATATTTTATAAGATAACAAGAGAGAAAACGGCAAAATTGGAATGCAATCGATCAAACTATACTTGCATGTATATTCTTATGGGTTGTAAAAATGCACCGGCATAAGTTGAAATGAAGTCTCTCTCTTTGAAGTCAAAGCAATTGTTGGTAACACGTGATATACTTTGTGGAGTCTAGTATTAACGTAAAAATCAAAATAGTGAAAGTATATTTTGTACACGATATAAGATTGTAATAGGCAGTAACATATAAAAGAATTTACGAGATTCTATAATATCTTTTAAGCCATGACTAATGTTCCCGTTGATAACATTTATGTAAAATATAGTTGTAATAGCCAAATAATAGTGTGAAATATCACTCAGCTATACACTCTTCCTCGATTATTCGATCTAATCCTCATGGAAAGTAAGAAATTCCACATTTTTTTGCCAGGCAACAAAGTTTTCGCAAAACTTCTCTTCCAAAGATTCATTTTTCTCTTTATTATTTTAGACAAAAGTCTCCTGCCCTAATTTCCAAAATGAAAATTAAGGGTCCGTTTGATTGCAATAGTGAAAAATGAGTGGAAAGAAAATGAATTCCAGTGAAAGTAATTGCCTAGAAATTATTTTGTAGGAAATTGTTAATTAAGTGTGTTTGATCGATATAATTTTTCACTCGAAAAGTTTTTAAATTTTGTGTTCGTTTGGTTTTCGTTTGTATCAAAATTGTCCATTAAAATGATAATTTTTTCCACACTTGGTTATAAAATTTGTTTCTATTGCCAAAAAGAAAAAAAAATGCCATAAAAAAATGTTTCCTAAAAATTATTTTTTTAATCAAAGTTCAGTGTTCGTTTGGCCTTTGTTTGCATCAAAATTGTTCATGAAAGTGAATTTTTTTTACACTTGGTTATGAAATTTGTTTTCATTGTGAAAAAAAAAACGAAAAAGTTGGAATCAGATTTCCCACCAAATAGGTGGGAAATCCAATTCATGAAAAAGTAGGAAATTGGCGCGAGGAGCTGCTGAGTGGAAATAGATTTCTTGGGAAATTTGTGCCTATCAAACAAGTCAATTTGGCTGAAATGAAATTTACTTTCCATTTTTTAAGGAATTCAACCCCCATCAAACATGCCCTAATCTTCTTTAGGTTAATTTATCTAATATTCTTCATTGGACATGATATGGAATCAATTGGTTAAGTTTTTAATTTTATAGAGATCAGTGCAAAAGTTACACTTCTATGATATAAACTTACAAATGAATCCTTTACTAAAAACAATGTTTAATTCATATAAGGTTAATCATTCATCATATTTATAACAATCACACTCGAACAACATGACAACGTACCTTATCAATATGGAAATATTAAATTTCCTTCCGAAACAGACTGGAATTGATAGAAAAAGTTTTTTATATACTCGGCAATAATTGTACTTTCACTCTATTTCAATCGGGGTTGAATCATTATAAAAGTATAGTTATCGCGAATGAAATGTAATAAGAAAAAAAATTTTGGACAACCGAGTCAAATATAATTTTATAGGCCAAATGCTAAATTTGATACCTTTCAACACCAAGCAACTACAGAACAAACAAATAGGTTAAGTCTTGACATGAATGGATAATGTTTTTCTTTGAAAAATAAGTGTTTGCACAATAATGTTTCTTATAAAATATTAAGACTTAATAATTTCATGGCACAATGATTGCTAAATTATATCATTTAAAATGTAACACCTTAGAGACAAAACATTTATGAATTTAACTCTTGTCTTTAGTATGTCCCTATAGTGTCACCATGCATAATTTTGATAAATGGATGGTGATGAGATTTGAATCGGAAATCATACTCACCACTCTTTCATTGACTATCTAATACTCACATGTCTAGCTTCCCTTCTCAACCCCCTCACATAGTTCTTGTTCCGAGCGGCCTTGGACCGTTCAACCAATTTTTCCGACTTGCCATCATGCTCGCATCACGAAATTGTACCGTTACCTTTATCAACCTTCAATCTCAAGCTCCTTCTCCCGAGTTCAGTCCGTTATCTACTTACTTCACCGCCCACCAAGAAATCAATCGCCTTGATTTTGATATTCGTTCATTCACCGCTTACACTTCAACTACTACTTGTGATCCTTTC